TTGTGTTTATCCATTTTTCCAGCCTTAGTTCATGAATTCGGGCTAGTCTCCAGCTCCATATGTACTGATGGTGGGCCCTGCTCAACTTGGATCTGGGTTGCCTGGCTTCCTGAGCTGAGTGTCTCACGTCCTTAGAGCCCTGGGTCTGGGGTCTGCTGCCCTTGGCCTCATAGCTCACAGACACTCTCAGTGACTGCCAGGTCTGAACATTCAGCCCAACCCTTTTTTCCCCAGGATGCCCTCAGATCTGGCTCTTTACAATACAGAAGTGTCTCTGGTCCCTCTGGAACATGGCTATTTTTTTTTTGCCTATTCTGACACTGACTTTTCTGGCAGCTTTTCCTGTTGACTGTGGGATTCTGGATGACTTCTCATGCAGTCGAAAAGTCACTTAATATAGTTTCTTTTGGGGCTTCTTGATCATTATTTACTCTGGTGCGATTATCAGATTACTAGGTTTTTGTTGGAGTAAGTTCTGTTGGGGAGCTAAGCTTTCTGATTTCATTCAGGTAGGCAAGCAGGCATCTTGGCAAAGGAAATCTTTCTGATACTCCTAGTACCCATTTAAATTTTTTTTTAAAGTTAAAAGATAATTGCACAATATGTACCTCATTTTTAATACTTTAGAAACCTTTAGATCAAGGGTTTTTGTGTACTATTGCCTCTTTGACAATCTGGTAAAGTCTGTGGACTCCCTCAGTTATGTTTTTAAATGCATAGAATGAAATATGTAGAATTAACAAAGGAAAGCAATTGTATTGAAGTACAGTTATCAAAATTTGTTTCTTAAAAAGTAAGTTCTTGGACTCCAGTTTAAGAACCCCTGGTAGATTAACCTAAAGTGTTGTACTTTAATAGTGATTGCATCTGGAGTATCATAAGGAAGCTATTTGTAGTTAGCTTAGGCAGTGGATGAATTAAGTTCTTTTCTCCCATTTAAAAAGTCTTTCTCCTTCTTCACCCCACCCCAAAACAAGAATAATCACTTCAATATAACTTTCTGAATATATGCCATTCTAACTTGAAGAGTTGGGGAAGGATAATTGGAGGCAGCTAGGTGGCTCAGTGGAGAGAGTGCTAGGCCTAGAATCAGGAAGACCTGAGTTCAAACCCGGCCTCATATATTTATTAGCTATGTGTATTAGCTGGGCAAGTCATTTAACATCTGTTTGCCTCAATGCACTGGAGAAGGAAATGGGAAACCATTCCAGATCTTTGCCAAGAAAACCTCATGGACAGTATTGTCTATGGGGTCCTGAAATGTCAGACACAACAAATTGGGTTAGATGACAATTAGTGGTTAATATCCTGCAGAAAATGTTTTTTTTTATATTTTGGTTTGCAAATGAGCTATGAATAATCATACAGTTATTGTGTTAAGTTCATTACTTTATTTCTAAGATATAAAATGAGGACTGGAATTTTAGAACCATAAATCTTTTTTATGGTCCTCAAATTTCTTAATGTATTTCATTATAGTAAAAAAAAAAAAAAAAAACTTAGAATCTTCTACAATTTTCCCTTTCCTATGCATTAGTCTGCCAAGAGAAACTTGCGACTTTTTTGTGTGCACCTTCATTTTGACGATCTTTTTGCCCCTAGAGGATTTTGAGGGCTTAGCAAAGGAAGCCTTAGGACAACAACGATACCAGAGAAGATAGAAGGGACAATCAGGTCTTCAGTCATAAAGGGCAACTAAAGCAGTGACCAAATCCAAGCTAGAGATAGCAGACAGCATAGGGGATCTAGTGAACTTTCATTTTGATAACCACAGGGACATATTTGGGATTTTGACACGTCACATGTACCCAAATTATACAAAATAAACAAATAAATGGAAACAGAACTAGAACTCTCTCATCAGCCTAATTATGCCCATGATTCTCTAATCTCTATATCCCGCTTAATCTCTCTCCAGAGCTCCAGGCTCATATTATTAGTAGCCCCTTGGAAGAGTACAATGTGCAAGACACTCCGTTAGGTGGAAAGGGCACAGATTTTTAATTATTTTTAGAAGAGGCCACAATCTCTGCCCTTAATTTAATGATCTAATGGGGTTGCTGCAACATATCACAGGAAGTTGTGCAATAGGTGACACCTACAAACTTCCTGAAGCCAAGTACCCTGCCGTGGAGTAATGATCTCTCACTGAACCTTTTGTCAGGAAGACCTCTGCTTCCAGAAAGTGAAAAGGCACTATGTTTGGGTTTTTGTTGGTTTGCTTTTTGTTTTTAAACTCACTGCTTATTTTGGTTTTTAAATATTTATTTTAAATTTTACATTGCAGCTTTTGGGTGGTGGTGGTTGTTTTTATGTTGCTGTCACTTCCCACCAACGTAGAATATATAATGAACATCTAACTCCCTTATAATGAAGCCATAGCTAAGCAAAAAACAAATGTCAAACAAGTTGGACAAGCTGTGCCTCATTCTACACATTGTATGCCTAGAGGTGGTAGGTGTATTTTATCAATACTCTATAGTCAAGGTTGAGCATTGCACTGATCCAAATTATCATGTCCTTCCTGTTATTTTCTACCATTCTTCTCTTGGCTCTGCTTATTTTCTTCTTCATTATTTCAAATAAACCTTCCTAAGTTTTCAGAGTTTCTCATAGGATTTCTAACAGTTAATAATACATCATTACATTCATATACTAAAATCTGCTTAGCTATTCCACAATTGATAAATCACTCACTTTGTTTCTGGTTTTATACTGACACAAATAGTGCTGCTTGAATATTTTGGTACATGTAGGACCCTTCTCTCTGTCTTCGATCATCTTGGGATATACACTCAGAAGTTATACTACAGGGTCAAAAGGTATAAACAGGGGCAGCTAGATGGCGCAGTCGATAGAGCACTAGCCCTGGATTCAGGAAGACCTGAATTCAAATCCAGCCTCAGACACTTGACACTCACTAGCTGTGTGACCCTGAGCAAGTCACTTAACCCCATTGCCTAGCCAAAAAAAAAAAAGGTACAAACAACTTAACCACTTTTCTTCCATAATTTCAGATTTTTTCCAATGCAGTTGAAACAACTCACACCAACATTATGTTAGGTTGCTTATCTCCCCACATAGATTGTTTCTGTCCTTTGTCATCTTTTCCAATTTTCTAGGAGTAAAGTGAAACCTGAGTTGATTTGTTTTGCATTCATCTTATTAATAAGTTAGAACACTTTTATATTGTTGAGAGTTTGCATTTCTTCTTTTGAAAATTGCTTATAGTCTTTGACTTATAGATATTTGAATCTTTTTTCTATATCTTGGTTTTCCTACCTTTATCTGAACTATTTGTAGTGAACATTTTTTCCCAGTCTATATTTCTCTTCTTATTCTAGTTACATGGTTTTTTTGCCTGCCATCTCCATCTTATTTTCTTGTCTCAGTCCTGCTCATTCCACCCCTATTGGCAACTTGCCAGTATGGCATTATGGAAAACACTGAATTTCAAGTTAAAAGACCCAGGTTCAAATGTAGGCTGTGCTATTTATTACCTAGATAGGTAATTTATCTTTGAGTCTGTTTCCTCTTCTATTAAATGAGGAATTGACTTGTTACTTCTAAGTTCTCTTAAGACCTAAATCCTATGATTTATGTTTTATATACTTAATATTATTTAGTCTGTTTTGTTCCTCACCCCTTTTCTCCTGTTCTCTGACTTACACTAACTTTTAAAAAAATATATATTGCATGAAACATTAAAGTTTTATTGAACACTGTTTGGGAAACTAACTTAAGCTATATAATCTGTTCCCTTTATATATTACTATTCTTTTTTTAAATTACATACTGATGAGATTCTTTGTGAGATGCAGAATGGCATGGTAGATAAAACTGATCTCTTACAGCCTGGCACTGTCATGCCAGAGAAGTCACTTCACCCCTCAGGAACCCTGGAACTCTCTTAAAGCTCTAAATTGCATTTGATGTGTTGACCTGCATTTGGTAAAGAGTATTTCTTCACCAGGAGTTTCCTACACTAGGGAAACTGCAGGTCCTGCCCAGAAGGAAACTGATACCTCAGATCTAAAGCCGATATTCAAAGATTTATAGAAATGTTTATAATGATGTTTATATACACTCCTCCCACTCTTTCTATACTTTTCAGTGTAATTCTGAGGGTGCACCTAATACTACTGAATAATGGTGGCCTAAAGATATATAGTCCTATTGTTCATTTGACAAGTATGTAAGCAACATCAGATATGCTGCACTCATCAGAGTGCATAATGCTATAGAATAGCACCACAATACTCCAATAATAGTTGTTTTGCTTATTTATACAATAATGGTGTCTAAGTTATGACATATAAGTAATTAGGGAGAAAGGACACACATACTATATGAAATAAATAACAGTGAAAGATATCTGGTGGTTACAAAAGTAAGACCTGAGGATGATTCTGAAGGTAGGTGAGATTTGCTCAGAGTGGGAGAATTTGCTAAATGAACAGCATGAAGTTAAGGTGAAATTGACCGTGGCCTGTCCTATGGAAACAAGGTCTAATTTGGGGGAGATTAATTAGGTAGGGTAGGATTGGGTTATAGAGAGTCTTGGATTTCAAACTTAGGAGTTTGGGTTTTATCTTATCGGTATTGAATCAGTCAAGGCTTTTGAACAGCTGAGTAGCATGAAGAAATTGGTATTTTAGAAAGATGAGTATCAGTGTACAAGATGTATTGAATGGCAGAAAGACTAGAAATAGTGAGATGAGTTAATAACCTTTTACAGTTGTCTATTCATGAAGTGATAAAGTCCTGAGATGATTTAGTGATAGTATTGAAAATGAAAGGGAAGAGATATATAATCATATGATTTTAACTCAGGTTTTTGTTTTTACATAAGAATAAAGATCATTACATCCATACAGGACATTTATTTTCATTTCCTATTCCTTTTAGTATTCATTTTCCTTTCTTCCTACATGATAACAAAAACATGTCTTTTTCCACCTCTCCATATCTGTCATTTTCTCCCTCCTGCATTCTCACAGCATTTTAGTCCTGTGGGACGTTCCAGCGAGGAAGCCCAGTGTCATGTTGACTTCATGGGAGAAGAGACTGAGCTAACTCCTGTAAGTTACTGTGTGACCATGTCTGTGAGCCCCTATTTATATATCAATGAAGAGTGACGCCACTAACTCACACTGATGTTGAGATGCATTGTCTGGTAATGCACGTTTTTTAATCTGTTTATACATGTCATAATAAGTGAGCTGCAATTATTTTGGTGTACAATATCTTTTCATTTAAAAAAGAAAGTAATGATATAAAAAAATACAAATATCATGGCATATCTTTAAATAGAGAAATGCTATTACTAGGCTACTTACCACTTTTATGAAAACATGATACCACATGCTACCTTCTAGCTTTTTAAAAATTATTATTTTGAACATAAGGGGAGAAAAGAAAACGATTAGGTGTACGTATTGATCCAATCAGTTAATTTAAGGTTATACTACAATTCAGCTGGATGATTTGAGTGAAATTACTGCCTCCTTAATTCTGGTGCTTTGCTGAAAAATAGAATCAGCTTTGCTCTCCTCTTCAAATGTATTTCCTTATCTTTTACTCTGTCATTATCTTGTGATGGCCTAATGTGTCCTTGGTGAGTAATGTAAGTGCAGCATTCTAATTAGTTTGTACTAATAAATAAGTAGTTCCAAAAATAAAATGTTTTGACTAATGTCCTCTAGACTTTTATTGAAAGAAAGCATTTATACAGAAATTATTTTATTCAACTCATTTAATGCTTCCTTTCAAGGTTACTTTTTGAAATTAGGTCAGTAGTTAACATTTGTTAAGCACTTTAGTGTATGCCAAGCACTGTGCTTAGCTGCAAGGGTTACAAAAAAAAAAGTAAAAATAGCCTTTAATCTCAGGCAGCTTATTCTAATATAAGACAACATGCAAATAAATCTGTATATACAAGATACATACAGAATAGATGAAAAATAACATTAAAAGGAGAAAACATTAGCAGCATAGAAGGGACCAGGAAAGGCTTTTTGCAGAAGGTAAGATTTGAGTTGAGACTTAAAGGAGTCCAGGGAAATTAAGAGTTAGATGTAAGGAGAGAGAGCATCCTAAGCAATGGGCAACAACCAGTGCAGAGGCACAGATGCTGGAGATAGAATGGTATTTTCCAGGGAGCAAGTAAGCCAGTGTAAGTAGATCACGGAGCAAAGAAGAGTTAAGAATGAGGTAGAAAGGTGAGAGAGGGCCAGATTATGAAGAGCTTTAAATGCCAGAGGACTTTATATTTGATCTTGGAGGCAATAGGGAGCTACTGGAGCTCATTAAGCATGGGAGTGATAATATGGTCACACCTACTTTTTAGAAAAATCACCTTTGCAGCTAAAGAGAGAATGGATTGGAATGAAGAAAGACTTGAGGCAGGGAGACCAGTTAGAAGTCTATTGCAGTAGTCCAGGCAAGAGATGATGAAGCCCTGAGGTTATCTCTATGATTAGAGAGAAATAAATGTATAAAAGAAATGATATGAAGGTAGAAATGACAAGATCTGCCAATAGACTGGATATTTTGAGTGAATGACAGTTGAGGAGTCAAATATGGCACTGATGTTACAGACTTGGGTAACTAAGAATGGTAGTGCCCTCTACAGTGCTAGGAAAATTTAGAAGGGAGATAGTTTGGGGAAAATATAATGGGTTTTGTTTTGGACATGTTGAGTTTACGATAATAATGGAATATTCAGTTAGAGATGATTAAGTGAGAAAGAGTTTTGAGATGAAAAGAAATGTGTTTATTATGAAGCCGGAATTCCAGAGGGCACAGTGAAAGAGGCAGGCAGAATGGAATGGGACCTTTTGGGGAAATAGGTGCAATGGATGGGCATGAAGGAGTCAAAGATGTCCAGGGAGGAGAATGGGGTTTGTACATCTGCAACTGGAGGTTCAGGATCACTGGTACAGGGCAAGTATAAGGGAAGGGAAATATGTTGACTATTAAGTGGTGAATCTAGGCAGAATATCAGTGGCTGGAGAGACGGTCATTAAGAGAGACAGACTATTGAAGGCTGAACCTCATGCTTCCTGGCAGACAGAGATGTTGTATCCTGTGAGACCCAAGGAGGAGCATTTCATTTTGTAGTTGAGGAAACCAAGGCCCAGAGATGTTTAGTGATTTGGCCATGGTTATAGTAGTAAAAAGATTTGAACCCGGGTCCTTTGACTTCAAATCCAGCACCCTTTTAACAGGCGGTTATTAAGTTCCTTCTAGGTACCAGGCTCTCTACTTAGGTGGTAGAAATGGAAAAAAAAGTGAAACAAACCTTGCCCTCAGAGAGCTCACATTCTGCTTATTGCCCACATATAAGCATGTACAAAATAGATAGAAAGTGATTTTGCTTGAGAGGTCACTAACAGTGTGGGCAGGGCTGGGGTGGGTTAGAAAGCCATATAGAAAGTAGTTCTTGAGATGAGTCTTCAAGGCAATTATGAATGGGAAAGAGAACATTCCAAGTATGATGGGCAGCCTTTGCAGAACTTAGATGGGATTTGGAATGCCGTGTCTGAGGAATAGTAAGAAGGCCAGAATGCCTGGATTACGTGCAGGAGCAGGGCTAACTTTTAATGATGGAAGGGTAGGTTGGGGTGAGGTTATAAAAGCTTTTAAATGCCAGACAAAGGAGTTTGTTTCTTCCTAGGAGCACTGGGGAGCCACTGGAGTTACAGGAGTGATCTGGTCAGCCTTGTGCTTAAGGATGATCACTTTGGCAGCTCTGTGGAGGATAGTAGAAGCAGAAAGAACAATCAATAAGCCATTGCAGTAGTCTGGATGAGAGGTGTATGTGAAGAGAAAGAGGGATACAAAAGATGAGGAAAGAGGAATTTAGGGTGATTCTGAAGTGGTGAGCCTGGGTTACTAAGAAGATGGTATTGGCTTCATTGTTTGGTACTCTCTATTACTGCATCTATTATGATTTCTTCTCTTAAACTATTTACCTCTTTTAGTATTTAGTACATAACTTTATGATCAGTATTACTGAGTCTCTCAAGCATAAATTACATATTATTGCCCCCTGGTGGTCAAGTAATATCTACTGTATTTGTTATTTCACTGACCAGAAAGAAATTATGGAATTTGCGGGCTAATCTAGCAAATCATTTGAGAAGATTTTAAGGAAAAACAGTGTACAAGAAACTGAAAATGATGCTTGGATTTGTTTGTAATATGATGATACCATCAATATTAATAAACTTACTTTTTTTGTTTAAGAGGTATCAGAGGGCAATAAATAGAATAGCTGGCCTTGGAGTTAAGAAGACTTGGGTTCAATACTCTCTTCTGAATTTAGTAGACCTTGTGATCTTATTTACATGTGTGTAATTGCATAAAACAAGCCTGAACAAAAAGTTTTCTTCATTTCTTAAAATCAAGCAAAAATCAGAGTTTTCTACCAAGCTTGATGGGCTTTAAATATAGGCCTTGTGACATTTGAGGACCAGATTGGCTAAGTATGGAGAGGCTCATTACCAAAAGATTGGTTGCAAGGTGATGAATATTTTGCTCACAGCAAAGACCAAAACAGACAAAACAGCCTGAAGTCCATTGCAGCATCATTCTACTTTTGCACTGATGATAGTGTAGTTGTGGGAAAGGAAACGGAGGATGGTAAGAATCACGTAGTTTTTCAAATGTTTATATAAAATAATTTTACTCTTCAGCTCTTTTCCCTTTTTTTTTTAACCCTTACTATAAGGATGGTTTGCTATTTGGGGCAGGAAAGGAATATATACAATTCATACATACATATATATTTTAATTTTTGCTGTGAATTTAGCAAGCATCAACAAATATGAACGTTTCAATATACAAAGAAGAACAGAAGAGGATTATATGTGAAACTAAACTTCTATTACAGATGTGTTTTTTATCAAACAGTAGTAGTAACAAAACTGCTCGGCTTGTCTGGGTCCTCTCCCAAAGTTCCCCTTTGTTTCTTCCTTTCTGTGTGTGTGCGTGTGTTTTTTTAATGTTTCATTGACACTTTTTTCCTTTTTCTTTTGACACTATCATGACCCACCATCCCCCCAACTACCACTACCGAAAAAAAGCGGAAGCCTTCCCTTGTAATAAATAAACGTAATCAAACAAAGCAAAACATTTTGGCCATGTCTAAGAATGTATATTTTATTCTGCACCTCTAGTCCACTGCCTCTCTGCCAAGATATGAGAAGTATTCTTCATAATTAATCTCCTAGAGTTCTGAGAGGGGGGCATTATATCAATCCAGAGTTCTTAAGTCTTTCAAAGTAATTTTCCTTTACACTGTTTAAATCGTTCTCCTGTTTTTTGCTCACTTCACTTTGTATTAGTTCATACAGGTTTTCCGAGATGTCTCTGAATCTATCACATTCATAATTTCTTACAATGTAATAGCACATTATAGTGTTCTAAATATATTACAGTACAACAGGTAACACTATTTGTTTAGCCATTCCTCATTGATAGGCATCCACTTTGTTTCTTGTTCTTTGTTGCAACAAAAAAGAACTGTTATAGGTATTTTCATACATATGGGTCTTTTCCCTCTGTCTGATCTTTTTGTTCATATGTTTGTGCATGCATGTGGCAGAGAGTGGTATCACTGGGTTCAAAGAGTATATATTTTAGTGATTTTTTTAGTACATTTCTAAATTTCTATCAGAACAGTTGGAACAATTCACAGCTCCACTAATATTGTACCATTGTGCCTATCCTCCCCTGTCTCCTCCAACAATTGCCATTTTCTTCTTTATCTTTGCCAGTCTGATGTGTATGATGTAGAAGTTTAACAGTTGTTTTGTGTTTTCTCTTATTCTGTGTGATTCGGAGCATTTTTGATATAATTGTTGATGGCCTGCATTTCTTCTTTAGAAAACAGCCTGTTCATACCTTGATCTTACTTATAACTGTTCCCTCTATATCTTGTATATCAGAATTTTCTCAGAGAAATTTGCTGCAAAGATTTTTTTGTTCTACTTAACTGTTTTCTTTTTAATTCTAACTTGATATTGCTTGTGCAAAAGCTTTTTGATTTAGTGTAATTCAAATGACAATTTTATCT